CCCTGGCGGTATGATTATGGAGGATTTTAGCATCCCAAAGCGGTACATTGTTTTTCATGGCAATTTGTTGTTTTATACTTTTTTCGTGAAAAAAAATAAATAAGACACTGTCTTATTTTCGGGGAAACACGGAAGCAGAGGACACCGCAGGGACAAGGTAAGTGACACTTTTGTGCAATCCCGAGTGTGGCTCGGGGTTACCACTCTTGGTACTGAGAATTAACCCCGAACACTCGGGAATACCGCCAGAGAGGTTAAGAAGAGGCGATTAAGGGGGATGTGATCACGATGTATAAATATATAAATTAACTGGTCCATATAGTGGTCCATATAGTGAGCTTGGTGCAACGTTATTCCCTTTAAGGTCACAGCAAAGGACGGGGGGCACACTTTGCATCTGAAAAAAAAGTTGTTTAACCTTTGCATACAGACAAGCTCGTTCACAGTAAGAGCTGTGAAATGTGCAATAGAGATGATTGGGCCCGAGTGGTGAAACGGGTTAGTGTTTTGCACACAGGCATAGCTATGATGGTGTATATTTGCTGATTGATTTCAATGAAGACTGTTTTTAGGCAGGACAACCAATGTAATGCTGCTGCTGCTTTGGAAGTGGAGATTATACTTTTTATGTTGTTAAATAACTCATTTATTTAACTGGGATAACAAACTATAAGTCAGCACACCAAAAACACAGTGGGGGGACTTTCTCAAAAATGGAGCAGACAAAAACTGGAGCAGCTGTGCATGGCAACCAATCACATTCTCTCTTTAGTTAGTTCAGTTATGATTTGAAAATGAAAGAGAGAAGCTGATTGGTTGCCATGCACAGCTGCTCCAGTTTTTGCCTGCTCCAGTTTTGATAAAATTTTCCTCAGTGTATCAGAGTTTTTTCTAAATAACTATGTGCATATATCAAAATGTTATATTGTGTTCCTAGTAGAAGGTGATTCTAGGTCCCTATAATTTTCCCTGTACTTTTCTTGTGGCTATGAACAAGTTCTCAAACAGGAGGACAGTCTTGATACGCAGACCTTCTCCCACGTAAGGGTGCACAGCTTTTCTTTCCACATCTCCATGTGAAGATTGGCTGTGTTGGCAGACATGAGTGGTTCAGATCTGTTCTACAACCTATGGTGTTATCCTATTGCAATAATTTGATTTCAGTCTAAACCATCTATGCAGTTGCTATGGATGTAAACATTGCTGAGACCTCATAAGATATCACCATTTCCTCTGCTTCTAGTTTCAACTTGCAAATTTTGTTGAGAAAACTAGGAGGGCTAATATTAACATCAGTCACAAAAATAATTATTCTGTCTATAGGCTTGAAGAAGGCTCTTTACTTGTGTGTCATGGCGAGTCCATATAGGCACTGAATGGCCTTCCCATGATAAAAACAGTGTTTTAAGACTCAGTCAATATCTTTGCCTATCTCAAGGAAACAGTCTGTAACCTTTTTCGTATAAATGCTGCAGGGTTTCCTTCCTTTATTCACTGGTATCTGTTAGACGTTTGCTTACGTTGGTATGGTAGTTTGACATATTAAGCACAACAGTTCACCTTCCTTTATCTGCAGGCAGGATAGTGATGGTTGGGTCTTTATAAGCAATGGTTGATTGGACTACTCATAAGGGTTAAAATTATGTGGAATTCCCAACCATCACACTTGTATAAGTAGTGAAACATTTTCAATAATCAGCACCTCCAGTTGTGTTTGCATTACCACCACTAGATATCCCATTACATAGATGACTGAAAACCTTCACAAACTATTCTAGGAAGTATGTTCTACCAATGTAAGTACATCCCTGGTCATTATTTTTATTCATCTAAAAACTTCCCCTTACCCTGTACATTTTACAGCTTTTTAGAATTTACCTGCTTGCTGAAGCACTGCAAACATTTTCTTTGTCCCTTGACGTCACTGGATAGGTTGCGGAAATCTTATCTGCACCAAAAGTCAGGAGAGAGATCCAACAGGGCACCCTACATTATTTCCTAATGACACAGGACACCTTGCAGAACTGCAGGACCCATGATCCCTGGGTCTACATGCTGTAGGATGCTTCAGAAACTCTAGGCACTGCCAAGGGCTGACTGTACAGTATGACATTTTTTTTTATCATAACAACTATGTAAGAAAAAGCCAGCTAAAATAGCCATGGCCTTGTAAGTACTTTATTAGATCTTGTTTTCTGCTGTTCTAAGAGAAGCCAGAAATACATACAGACAGATTTCTCATCAAGAACAACAAATGGGAAGAGATATGTCCATCTTTGCTTGAGTGCCACATCCCACTGCTATCCTCATTGACAGCAGTGCACATGTAGTACTTTTGATTCATTACTCCATAGAGAAGTAACAGATCACAGTCTGGTGGAAAATCTCCCTGTGTGATAAGTGAAGGTGCTTGTTGTTGGCCTTTTGCGTTTGAGCAAGAGCTTATAATCACAAGCTCATAATCATGTGTAATGTTTGAAATTGGGACCATCTGTTGCCTTTATCCAAAACTAGCTTTATAGTTTATATCTGTTCAAGACAGGCTTTCAAAAGATATTTTGTTTTAAATCTGATCCTTATGTTTCTTGAAAATATGAACTGTTATCCCAAACATCATATACTACTGTAGTCCGTTATATATTTTTTATTTGCTTAAAGAGCAACTCCCCTCAACAGGTCACTCCATAGGTTAAATCTATTAGCAAACTAGTAATTAAATCCAAGAAAAATTCCAACTTTCAGTAAATCAACAAATTTTATTGTAGCTTGGATTGTACATAAATAAATCTGAATCATAATAAATTTCATTCACATTTAACAAGCATTATACACACTGGTCGGCAGCATTTGGTCACATTATTGTGTGCTGTATAGCTTACCACTTATGCTTTAGTAGCGGTGAGTGTCTTTAAAGGAGAAATATGAGGTGAGTGCTTTTCACTCACCTCATAGTTCTAGCCGCCCTGTGACAATTAGACTGTCATAGGTCGGCTTAGTAGATCGGGAGGTGAGCGAACACATACCGGCATTCGCTCACCTCTCGATCCTGTCACGGCTCTCTGCCGTGACAGGGGAGGGGCTGGATTCCCCCCTCCGATCCGCCAGCGCTGACTGGCGGAACGGACGGGGGAGGGGGCGGGTACAGCTGGCTCTGCCTCTAGATAGGCAGAGCCAGCTGTCAGTCACGCAGCTGGGCGGATCCCGGCACAATTGTCGGGATCCGCTTCAGCTGCGGCGTCTCAGTATACCGTGAGCAGCAGCTCGCGGTATACTGAACCTAGGGTGACGGGAGGACGCTAGTTTGTGTCCTCCCGTTACCCTAAGGTGAACTATGGGGAAAAGCCTTAACCCCATAGTTCTCCTTTAATCAGTTTTTGGAGTGGGCAGAGCTGAAACAGGTATCTGAATGGGGACACCTGGGATTCCTTTTGCAGGAATCGGTATGTGTTTGCTGCAGGAACCCCAGAACATTGCATTGATCCCCATGCGAATGTGACCTTAAAATCCGTGCTCTCAGTAATCAGCAGTCAGTAACAGAGCTGGTCACACATGCCCCCTCTCTTCCTCCACAATACATGTGTGTGTGAGATAATTTGTGATGAGGGTTGCAGCTTTTATAGAATATTGAAGTAGGAGAGCAAAAAGCCGCTTTTCCTCTGAGGCAAAATGGATTTCAAGGCATTTCCTAGCAAAAATCAATCATTAATCATGTGGGGATATAAAAGTGATAAAAAACACTATAATAGGGCTTTATTACACCTGAGATAATGAACAAAATGAACACATTTCATAATGTATATGTTTATACCCTGCCAGTGTACCTGACACTATGGGGGTGTATTTACTAAAGGCAAATAGGCTGTTCACGTAACAAGGGTATTTTTCCTACATTTCATTAAAAAGATGAAGCTCTGCTGACTTCCATTATCCAATCATGTCCAAGCAAAAATACTTTTCTTTTTCATTTTCCTTGCACATGACTGGCTAGTCTTTGTGAAAAAATGTTACAACATTCACTAGGCTGAGGAAAAATTCCCTTTCAAAGTGAACAGCCTAGTTGCCTTTAGTAAATTAACCCCTATATAACAATAGGCAAACTATGAGCCTTAACTATTAAAGTGGGAACAAAGAGTTTAATTGTTTCCCATAACAACCAATCACTTTCACTTGATACATTGTCCTTGGTTGGAACTTGCAAACATCTGGTTGCTATAAAAAAAAAATCTTTGTCCTTGCATCTGTTTTGTATGTGCAATGTCCTATGATCTTATTACACACTGCATTGTGTGCTGTATCCATAAATATTGTCTTTCCACACCTGGAAGATACGCTATTTGATTTAATGGAGATGGCTGAAAGATGTTAGTCAATTTAATGGGATGGTTTTGTGGACACATTTTTTAATTCCAGATCTTTTTTCCCCCAATTTCTAGCATCTGTGACAGTCATCATCATGTTTACTTAAAATTTGAGACCAATTAATAAAGTAAAAGCTTTAAAAGACCTGTTGAAGCTGAACAACGTTCCATCCTTAGACCATTTCGAGTTGCCTGAGTTCCAGGTAAAACTCTTACAATGAAGTCCTGTTACGGAGACAGAGGAGGCTTTAATCACATTTTAGATCTAATTAATCCATATTGAAGCACAATGATTACTGTTGTGTTTTAGGGTGAGGGGGTCATAGAGCCTTCTTTGTTCACCTACTGGCTTGTAATCATCAGGCATTGGGATATAATTTTACCCAGCAAATTCAAAGGTAACAGATCAAATGCTTATCATAAACTTAACTCATGGCTGCTAGGAATCTTTGCTCCATGTATATGAAATCCTAGCTGTCTGTTGAAGAAAACCTTGCTTGACAGTCACCAAGGGGGTTAATAGGTAGAGCTTATATACCGCCTAGCTGAAAGGCACAACTCTTACTTTACTATCAGCTCCAGGACACCAGATAGCTGCTGGGCAGTGCATATCATCGTAGTGTCAAGGAATAACTGAAAAACATGGAGCTGTCCAAAAGAACTTACATGCAGTTTGGAGGAACTTTGCTGTCAATTGCAGGATGGGTTCTGTCCTGTGTTACCACGTTTGTGCCACTTTGGAAAAACTTGAATTTAGAGTTGAATGAATTAGAAAACTGGACTATGGGTTTATGGCAGACCTGCGTTGTTCAAGAAGAAGGAGGAATGCAATGCAAGGACTTTGACTCCTTTTTGGCTCTGTCAGCTGAACTCAGGATTTCCAGGATTTTGATGTGCTTATCTGTTGGCTCTGGGATTCTCGGTCTCTCCATCTGTGGCCTTGGCTTGGAATGTGTAAACATTGGGGAGCGAAGACAGGAGTCCAAAAATCGCCTTTTACTTCTTGGAGGCATACTGCTTTGGATAGCAGGTCTGAGTGCCTTGGCCCCAGTCTCCTGGGTGGCTTATGACACTGTCCAAGAATTCTGGGATGAAACTATTCCAGACATTGTCCCAAGGTGGGAGTTTGGTGAAGCTTTGTTCATGGGCTGGTTTGGAGGGTTCTTCCTCCTAGTTGGTGGCACTCTACTTGCATCTTCCTACTGCTTTTTACCTTCTGACCCAAAAACTGCATGTTACACACCTACAAAGCATCATAAACAGTATCTATCTGTAGACTCCAAATACCCAGACCTGACTGTATAAAAAGTGCGTTTGCTAAAACTGGATCCAGAAACCCTAACAAATTGGGCACCTAATTAGTTTTCGTGTTTGTTTAACTAACTGTGCTGAAATCAAACATTGTTACCATTATTCAGTGTCACATTTTTTCCAAAGAACAATGCAGATAAAAGGTGTCATTGTGTCAATTTTTATTTCTTTATCAAGAACACAAAGAGATGTGTTTTCCAACAGAAGCTAATAGTAAACTAATGCCCAATAATCTAAGCCATCTGAGAAACTGTTGGTTTGACTATATGTGGGATTCCAATGCAAAAAAAAACAAACTGCAACCCTCTGGCTTTGATGATCGCCTGAGCACCGAACTGGAATAAAATGGCTGTGCAATATCCTTAAAGTGCCATTTGCATTTTGACACCTTACCTAAAACATCATCATTTATTGTATGAATGACCATCTTTGACACTAAAACTTAATTGTGTGCTACAAAATCATTCAATTAAAGAGATAAGACTTGGCTTGTGTATATTCTTGTGACATAATGTCTAAACAAAGTGGAAATGTATTTGATCCAAAATGAGAAACAGTTAAGTGTAATTACAATTGAAATTTAGCTTCATTATACTGATCACAGCAAGCAAAATTACCGCAGGTGTGGGGAACGTTTACAAGTAGTGTCTGTAACAGTTAATAATAAGCACTTTAAATACAAAGCATGCCTTTTAGTATGATCTTAGACTGTGTCCAGCAAGCCATTAATAAACAATCAGCATTTACAACTATGTAAGCGAGTACCTTTTGCAAGGCAACAAAGTGTTAACACATGTAATAGAGTCTATATGTCAGAGACTGTGAATATAATTATCTGAACAGAATAATGAAATCAACCATAGAGCTAAGGAACGTAAGTCTTTTGAAGCCAATTACAGGTAGGATTCTAGTGATTCAAATGAGTTACTGTCAGTGGCACAACATTTCTGTCCATGGCTTAACACCTGACTCCCTTTTGACATAACAGAATCTGCATTATATGCTTTTGTTCTAATTAATGTGCTTCGGAGGATATAAAAGTTAATTGGCAAAAAAATATATTTTGTGATATTTTGGTTAAATGACAACCTGCCAAAGGAAAACGTACTTAGCATGAGATGGTATTTTACACTAGGCAGAATATAAGATTCCTCAAGCAACCTGATAGAGAAGTAATGTTCTATTGTTCTCTATGGATTCTCAGACAGGTCAATACCAACTTTAATGTGACTAATATTCTTCAAGTTAACTTTATGACAATGCAAGCAAAATAGTTGTTCATATTAACTTTGTTTCATACAGAATTTAATTTTAAAAAGTCATAGATGGTATCAAGACATATTGGATCTGATAATGATCCTTTATTATAAAGAATGATAGTAATACATTCTCGATATAGTCCTCTGGTTCATCTATATTTGTGTGAGTTTGTCTTTTGAGTTTTCAAGTGTTAATATTTGAGTCTGACATGTACATGTTTTTTCCTCCCAATGTTTACTGACCATGTCCCTAAATCTGAAGTATGTACATATTTGCAGCTGTGGTTTGGCACCCCCTCTCACACTCTCTGTTCCGTCTTTCCGGCGGGTCCTTTCCACAGCATAGATGTTGTACTTTATAATCACAATATATAAAGGAGACCTGGACTAATAGGAATACAAGCCTGCGATGGGTGACAACCTTCTGAAAATCCTGGGTGTCAAGCTTTTTCTGGCTTCAAATTTTTCTGAGTCAGTGATTTGGAACAACCATACAGACAGTGGCATATCTAGGGTATGGCAGGCAGGGCACATGCCATGGGCACCACTTGAGGGGGGTGCTGCACCACTCAGGGACATTAGCGGTGTTGGCCCTTTAGTAGAGCTGTGCCCCATTCAGACCTCCCATCAGCGCAGAGCTGCAGCGACATCCCAGCTGATTAGTGCTGTCACAAAGAGCCAGGGCAGGGAAAGTTATACTACTCATTTCCTTTGCTGGGAATTGACTGATGACTCACTTTGGGTTGGCGCTAACGGGAGGTCTGAATGGGGCACAGCTTAACCAAAAAGGTGAACACGTATCCTCGTGCCTGGGACTGGGGACCAATTGGCTTTGGTGCAATCAATGCAGACCCATGTTGACAGGGGTCTGAATGGAGCACAATATAACTAAAGAGGCACACACCTCTCATCATCCTTGGGGCCCTAAACGGGGAACTGATTGGCTAAGCTGTGACTGCAATCAATTGCAAGTCTGCGCTATGGGATCATTCTATTAAGGTACAGAAATATCTTCTAATACACGCCATATGCCATGCTGTATGTTTCCTGTTCTACACTGCCTCATTCTAAATGCTGTGCTGTACATTCCCTGTTCCACACTGCCTTATTCTTTATGCCGTACTGTACTTTCCCTATTCCACACCACCTCATACCATATGCCATGCTATACGTTCCCTATACCACACCTTTTTATTAGATATGCCGTGCTGTACATTTCCTGTACCACACTGCCTCATTCTATATGCTGTACCGTCTTTCCCTTTTCTACACTGCCTCATTCCATATGCCATGCTGTATGTTCCCTATTACACACTTCCTCATTCCATATGTCATGCTTTATGTTCCCTATTCCACATTGCCTCATTTCATATGCCATGTTGTACATTCCCTATTCCATAACGCCTCATTTTATATGCAATGCTGTACATTCCCTATTTCGCACCACCTTATTTCATATGCCATGTTGTACATTCACTAGTCCATGCTGCCTCATCTATGCACCTTGTTGTACATGTTATATTCTGCACTGTCTCATTCTCTACACTGTGATGTACATTCCTTATTCTGCACTAACCATACAGGCTGGACTGCCAAATATTTGGACAAGGGTGCAATTTCGGTGTTTGTTTTAGGCACTATTTACCGTAGATTCTCCCCTGCATACAGATTAAGAAGATTAGATAGAAATCTCCTCATCTGCAAACCTGTTTCAGGTCAGTGACTAAGAAAGTGCTGAAGCCACTGGTTCAACACGACAGCCATGGAACAGCTGATCGCTCACTTCACAATTACCCTGCAGGGAGCAGTAACAGTCAGTCACCACTCCCCGCAAGGATTCCCCCCATCTCCATTTATCCAGCACTGACTGGAGGGACGGATGGGGAAAGGGCCAGGCACAGTTGTCTCTGTCTCTAGAGAGGCAGAGCCAACTGTCAATCAGGCAGCGGGGTGGATCCTGACAATATTAGCGATATTGACAATATCTGCATTGTCAACATTTACCGAGTAATAGCCCGCTATATGCAGAGTTTTGTGTAACAGGAGGACATTTACTAATGTCCTCCTGTGACCCTGAAGTGAACTATGGCAAAAAAAAATGCTGGGCCATAGTTCTCTTTTAAATGCTAATGTGTGCATCTAATTATTTAAAGAGCTAGTACACCTAAAAGTTTTATATTTTAGAGAGCTGGAGTATGCTGGCTTTATATACCTCTTTGGGACTCTAGCAATGAACTCTCCCTGCTATTGTTTCTGACTAATCTTCCCATTCATCTTGACGTGTTCCAACTCCTCCGGTTGCAGACCTGTTAGCTATAAAGAAACCATGGAAGATATAAAATAAAAATAAGGTGGTTAACATTTCAGGATTTACCAAACACTGAAACATTTATAATACTGTATATGTACAGAAAGACCTATGAAAGTGATGGGTCTTATGTTGCACACAATTTGCCCAGGCATCCTTCAGCAATGGACAGATAGACTTATAGTCTCTTTCTCTCTATATATTTTTACAGTATATATCATATTATGATGCATACCTAGTTCCTTGCTTTTCCATTCCTCTTAGGCCTGGATCACATCTTTGCATTGCAGTAAAATGGCCATTAATGCAATGCGTGGTGCTGCAGGGGTTGGTGTGTTGTTTTCTTAAAAAGTGTGAGGTACGGTTGGGGCTGTTCTAAGGTGAGCAATGCACATTAACGCATGATGTAACACGTGTAAACATTAATGCACTGCACAGATATGATCCCATTTCCTTCCCATAATTCCTTTAGCAATTAGAATTGCTAAAGGAATTAATTTAAATGTGTGAAACAGAGACGTAACTAGAAACCTCAGGGCCCCGGTACAAGAAACCATTAAGGCCTGATTTGGTGCCAAAACGCACTGGATTGCATCCCGGCCGGCTCACTGCGTTCTGGGGTGGGAAGTGGCGTGGCGGTGCATTGAAGCCAATGGCACAGCAGGCATGCCCCCCGGCCACAGTGTGATCGCTGCCTGCGTTCCGGTCTGGTGCGGGCAGAAAAAATATTGTATGCAAATTGTGTTCCCTGACTGGCCACGCCTCCCACTACAGCGTCTTCACCGTTCCTCTGTCTGAACCGCGGTCCGCAAGCGTCAAAAACACAGTGGGCAGCATGAGGCAAATGTATAATCATTATACAGCCTTAGTTCTCAACTGGTGGGTCGTGACCCAAAAGTGGGTTGCGACGCCGTGTTCAGTGGGGCGCCACATGCCTTACACTTTTCTAGGTGAGAGGCTCCTCAGCTTCCCCCTAGCGCACCACCATCAGTTCTCATGCCGAGCAGCCATTCAAAGTATACTGCCCGGCCCTCGTGTCAGCTTGCAGTGGGGTGGGCTGGAAGTATGGCCATAAGGTAGCTCCATCCATACGTGCATTGCTTACAGCTTCCCCATGTGCCCTGTAGAGGCGCCTTTAGCGGAGTGACATCACATTCTGGCTCCTGGCACCTCTACAGGGCACGCAAGTGAGCTGTACAAGCAATGCACATATGGATGGAGCTCCATCACAGCACAGCATCCCACACTGGACCTTAAAAAAAAAATATATACCGTATATAATTTTTTTGGAGTGTGTATGTGAGAATGTCTGTGAGTGTGTGAGATTGTGTCTGTGGTTGTGTGTGTCTGTCAGTGTTTTTGAGGGTCCGTTCACACTAGTACAGTGCGTTAATTGCACAGTCCCATGTAAATAATGCGCTGTACCA